ATATATATATATATATATATGTATAGAGAGAGAACATCGTAGCTTTGGGAAACCGATAAAGGTGTTTGTCTTACAGAAAGAGGGATTATAATTGTAGGATTGAACAATTGCGCGATATGTTGTGGCAAATGCATGATGGTTACAGTATTTTGGTAAATTCAGAATACTTATCCTATTGTGTCGCGATGCTGATAGCACTTTGATAAACGAAATATTCGTGACATCATGACAGTCGCAAAATTCCTTCTAGTATTTGGAGATACGCGAAATATTTGGTATTATATAATAAGTGCAAGATACTTGTAGTATTCCGACAAACGCAAATAGAGGGTACGGCATATTATATCTGGGAGCAAATCTCCGTTTTTCGTGTAACTAACGAAAGTAATGCTATTCGATGGATTTATTGAAATTCAGTTTTCTGCACTAATTAGATAAAGGTATAGTGTATATTTTTGCTCTTAGATCTACTCGTGCCTACGTGTACAAGCTCCTCCACTCGATCTATTTCTACCTACTATGAACATGAGCGAACTGAGAGAGCGCGTTAAGCATGGAGACTGTCCTCTGTAAAACTTTGGTCTAAGAAAATAATATTATTGGTTTTATAAATTAATTATCTGATGTGGCGCTAATCGCCGATACTCGCATATATCAAGAACTTTTCGGAGTTCACCTCCCAGCAAACGAGAATGGATTAAAATGGATTGAAATTTTTTTCCGAATGCGTATTTTAAATAGCGTATTTTAAATACTTTTTTTTGGATTTAATTGAATTCAATTGGATTCAATTGAAAAAAAGGTATTCAAAAGTTTGAATAGTATTCATTTGAATAGTATTCATTGAATAGTATTCATAATTGCACAAAAAAAGCTAATATTATTTTTAGATTGAAATAGAGATATCCTCCATGCAATTCCTATAAATGAATAAAAATGCATTCAGGATTGAAAAGCATTCATTTTAACTTTCATGAATCGATATTTCTGAAAATCTGAATCCATTTCAATTCATTTCAATTCATTCTTGTTTACTGGGCTTATGATTTATGTATTAACGTACATAAATCGTAAATAGGCAATACTTGAATAAATAAAGACCTACTGTCATATTTTTTACAGTTTAAGACTCTTTCATGTTGCATGAAGATTCCTTTTCGACCATAATGCAAAAATATCAGAATCTTTGTTTCCATTGTAGAGATTCATATAAAACATTAAAATTACGTGACGCAACTATTGTAGAAGATAGAGATATGAATCAACCCAGTGAAATCTTTGCGACAATTGTAACATTTTCCACCAATATATATATTCTTCTGTCGACACTCATGTGTAATCATGTGTAATCGCAGTCGTTAGTAGACAGTAATTTCATCGAAGAAATGGTTTATAATTAAATGCAAAAACAATCACGATACTCTTATGTAAACACCATTTGCAAGATGAACAGCGTATAGATACTAGACGAACGATATCTAGTATCATTCAGAAAAAAACTGACGTGCCTTTCCAATTCAGGGGTTGACAACCTCCGCAACATGTGTATGTACATTCGATTCCGTCTAAAAAAAAAGGTTTGCACCCCATATACTGTCTTTAGCTGCAAACTCCGTCATACACTTATGTATAATATCTTGTTTCATAATACATGTCGCTCGAATCAATCTTAATGCTTGTTTCTATTTTCTACATTTTTTTTCTTGCCACGAAAGAAGTAAATACAGCAAATATTTTTAAATATATATA